ATTGCGTATTGTAAACAAAAATTCACTCACTTGCACATTGAAAACGCCCTGTTTTGAAAGTCTTTTAAAAACTACAATTGTGTTTGTATGTATACTCTATAGAAGGCTAAGTAAAGTGCTTAGCTAACACTTTTTGAAAAGGTCTCTTCCCGTCATACCCTCTTCAAGAAGGGTGTGGCACGTCGAGGAACGGAACGAAGGACGAGACGCCTGTTTAAAAGTATCACTCAATATGGTATATGTAGCAATCAATAATACACTATGTATTACAATAAATAGTAGCTCGCCTACTTACGTCTATACAACGATGATTATGTATTGACCCATGTAATAATTATGTAACAAACGTTCAACCTTTTCTATCGCAAACAAGTCGAATAGCTCAGAACTCGTTTGGGTACAGTCAGATTAATAATCGTAAGTGCCACGCAATCAGTCCAATTACACGGTTCTTATGATACCCTGTATATTGGGAACGAAGTAATGAACATCTAGGGGTATATCCCAAAACATTGACCCCCGAACCAATTTGAAAGACTTCGTTTTCTATATTGCCCAGACCGAGAATCAAATCGGGAATTTCATTTACGCAAAGCGATATGCTTACTACTGCGCCACGGAGATCATCTTCAAATTCATTAAAATAGGTTAAACATGAGATATGGCAGTAAAATTACAAGATAACGACTCGAGTGTCACAGTATATGTGATGTTTATAGTACTATTTATTTCTATGGGTGACTGTGAGTATTTTTCATCAGATGAGCAAAATTCAAAAATTCAAAATTCAAAAATCATTTATTCATGTAGGACATTTTAGCCACTTATGAACGTCAAATTTTTACATTATAATTTTATATTTTCCCTACCGTCCAGTTCGGTATATAGATCCAATTGAGAAGAACTGGCAAGAAACTCAATTGAATTACTTTTTTTTTTTTTAAAGCCAGTTTATTTACAATGTATATTTATATAGGTGTCTATGTCTAACATTAAATGAAAATTCAGTGCATGAACAACTATTGCCATGCACATTCGTCATTCAAGTAATCGTTTAGTGAGTAATAGGCTTTGCTCAGTAAATATGATTTAACAGATGTTTTGAATTTATTTAAGGGTAATTCCAACATATCCTTTGGTATCTTATTGTAAATTTTTATACCTATTCCCATAAAAGACCTATTAACTTTTTCTAAACGATACTTGGGGACAGCAAGTTTGTCTTTAAATCTAGTATTAATATTATGAATATTGCTGTTTTGGAAATAAGTCAAGATTTTTATGAACATATAGAATATTTGAATATATAAATTGAGAAGCAACGGTGAGAATATTTGCCTCTTTGAATTTCTCTCTTAATGAGTCACGACTCTTCATACAGTAGATCGCTCGAACGGCACGTTTTTGTAATATGAATATATTCTTAATATCTGCCGCTTTTCCCCATAGTAATATTCCATAAGAGAGTAAACTATGAAAATAACTAAAATAGACTAATCTAGCAGTATCAGTATCAGTGTACTGTCTAACTTTACGCACGGCAAAAGCTGCTGAACTTAATTTCGCTGCAAGGCTTTGAATTTGTGCACCCCATTGTGTTTTATTATCTAGTGTGATTCCTAGAAAGACAGTAGATTCTATAAATTCGAGAGATTCGTCATTTAATTTAATATTGCAATTAGCAGTCAGTTTGTTTGCCATTCCAAATTACATAAAAAAATTGACAGTGTGGTCAATAATGTTTTGTAATTTTTCAGTTTCATTGTTTTAAGTCAAAACATTATTAAAGGAATTATTAGTTCATAATGTTTGAACTAACAATTCCTCCCTACCTGAACCCAACAGTAAATTTAAAGTAAATATCCCAGTCTAGGGTGATCTCCCTCCCATCTTAACTACCTCAAATATGTTACAGTGTCAATAGATGCAGGATTAAAGTTTCCAGGGTCGCCTTGTGGCTATGAGGGTATGAGGGGCCGTATTTAACACTGCATAATGTAAGGTTGAAATAATGATGATGAATATGGTTTTGCTTATCCTTGACCCAGTGATCTATATTGAAGGCCTTCGTGGCGCAGTGGTCAGCACGTTGCTTTGTATAAATGAGCCCCAAATTCAATTTCCGATATGGCCAATTTAGAAAAAGAACTTTTCTGAATTGGCTTGGGTCTGGGTGTTTTGGATTGTGTCCCCAGATGTTATTTGCCTGGTTTCTTATAACACAATGTACTCTAGCTTGTGGACCAGGTGTTTGGTGTGTGTGCCACTTATTATTATTATATGAAGCTAACTGTACGTGCATAGTAACCATACGGATGCCACGTACCAGTATAATGGTCTGCTAATACAATTACCGGATTGCGGTCACAGCCAGCTTACTCGCCAGCTCTAACCTTTCCACAGCGGGTCCAGTCATCGTAAAACAAATACGTTTTAGTACCAGCAGGCCATTGTTCTCAGTTGTCCGTTCTGCAACGTTGAAACCCTATTATTAGGTTATCGCCAATTTTTCACCAGAGCACTCTATTAGCCTTAAAATTACTTCAAAGTCGAGCGGAATAAAGTTCCCTTTATTTTAGAAATTACAATTATTTGATAAACAGTTTTCAAAAAAATAATGTATTTCAATTTGTCATATTTTTTTTCATATCAATCCAAAATAAAGACTATAAATAAAAATAGTACAAAACAATAGCTCAATGTCCCTGAAATATACGTTTAATGTGGGCGGATATAGTTCCTTTTATTCTGGTAATTAATGGAACAACCGAATTCCAATTTAGGATCGGTTTTCAAAAGAAATAATGTATTTCAATTATGTTATAATAATTATTTATTTTTTTTTATAGAAACGTCCCAGGTGACAACTACAATCAAAAAGAGTACCTTGATATCTAAAATAGGAAAAAAATCGTAAAAAAATTATAAAAATAGAATTTCTTTAAACCGTTACTGTAAAAAATCATGTAACCCAGTTTACAACAGTGTAATGTATTTGTTACATATAAAAATACAGTCGTCTTGAGAGATTTAAAAGATAAATCTGACTCCCATTTCACAATAGTTTTTGCTGTAAGTTTTATTATCAATCGTAAATTGTATGATCGACATCCGCTTCCATCAGACGTTAGTGGATGCCCCCTTCCCTCTGGTTATTACAATTTCTCTCTTTCTTCCACGATTCCCATTGTTATTCACTGAAGAATAGCGGATCTACATTCATTAATATATTCCTTATCCAAATTCATTCATTTCCTCTAACTTGATTTAAAATAGCAGAGATTAATAATTTAATAAATAATAATTACATCTATACTATACTTATAGATTTTATTCAAATGTAGGGAAGTCAAGGACTTCAATTTCTATAATAAGTGCTCATTCTTTCTTGTTCTTTATAATAAGAAATAAAAAAAAGTCCTCAGTGTGTTGAGCAGACAAATCCACGAAAGTCGGGTTTTATAATCACATTTAAAACCCAATAAACAAGGGAAGGAAAACATTTCTATTCAAAGATGCAACGTTTTAAAACGTATTTCACGGTGTGGTCTTAAAGTTGAAATTTGAATACAGCGATTTGTTGGGGGGCAATATGAATTGTCGACGCGAGGGCTGGCCAAGGACACGTATTGTGCAGATCCGGCAGTGGAGCCCAGATGAGCTGGGCCTACAGAGTTTGAACGTTATATAACGTTCAGTCGACTAGGGACGTGTTGAATGTACGTAAATTGTTTGGTTGCAAACATTATGGGAAATGGTATTTTGAACTTGATTCATCTACAGAATATATAAAACATAAAATATTCAGTTCCATCAAGAAGTTACAGCACCCACAAATGAATAGATAGACAACGACAGCAGACAATTTAATGTTTGAAAACTTCAATTACGAGTTTGTAATATATATTTTATACAATATCTATATAATGATCCAGTAACGAATATATTGAAAGTCTGTTATCAAAAAAATAATATTGGAATACAGACTTTTAACATATTCGGAAATAGATATTCAACCGATTTGGGCGATGTTGATAGATGATGACCATTTTTGTCCAGAGGAACCCAATATATAGATATCGGATCGGTATACATATTGCCCATGCCTAACAGCAATATTAAATTACTTTCCTTAGAAATCCTCCTTCTACAATGACCTCATTAATAAATCAGTTGAATGCAAGTTGATTTAAATAAATAGATAGATAGATACTCTTTGTTGTTTACTCCAAAAGTTTACTATTGTAATATTAGTAAAAGCAAAAAATTACAAGAAAATGAATCTTATACGAATATTGATTCCTTCGGAACCATTTAATATTACAAACTATTAACATTACAAATCTAACATTCAAGTTTTTTACTTAAGCTTAAGAAATATTACGTTCGATCGTTACGTTCATTTTATTAAAAAAAAAAATACAATGTACTGCTACCTTATTTAATTTCTAGAAATGGCAAACTAGCCAACGGCCCACCTAATAGAAAGTGGTATCAGTCAATGTACACCCATAACACCAAAGTCATCACATGTTACACCATGACGCCGTCATGCGTAGCCGGTTATTTAACTAATTATAGGTGGATAAACTAATAGAATACTCAAACCATAACGCTTGTACGATGAATGTCGAGTCTGTTTGAATTGTAGCATTTATCGTTCTATGGTTTCTGCCTACCACAACGCGAGTCGGGAGTTTTTTTTTTTATTAAATGAAAATGTAATGGTAACGCTATGTGCAGTTGATTATACGTTGAAGGCGAGGGTACAAATAAAGAATAATAGATGATAATGATGTCAGCCAATTCAAAAATAAAATTTAAAAAATTTAAAATATATTTTCTAGGAATTAACCATGAGTTTTTCTAGGGTGATCACCTGGAGGTCGATTAAGACAGGATATATTAAAACAGTGATTAAAATTAATTCTCACCATTAACTCCTTTCGCCACTCTTTTGCAATAGTCATAACATGATATTTTTTTCTATTTGTTCACAGAATCGGTGTCATAATAAAGGGCATATCGATGAGATCTCACTAGGTCTCTGACGAGCGTCGCCACGCTGCTCGGATCACTTACTTGTAAGTAAATTGAAGTTACTCGTAGCTAAGTGGAATCAAGTCATCTAATACAAAATAAAACATAAACTCATGTAATTCTATTCAAACATTTAAAAATTCACACCATGTAAATAATCATATCATGAACTCGCTAAATACTTATATAAAAAAAAACTAAACTAACATCAACAATAAATCAACATAATTTAATAATAATATATAATTTAAATTTATATAAAAAACACGTTAGAGAGAAACTTCTGGCAAACTCCGTTTGATTGGATAGGAAAAAATCATGTTTAAATTGTTATTGATATATTTGTTTTCTTTTTTTTTATTATCAAGTATATGTATATATGTATGTATTGTGTGTGTGTGTGTGTGTGTGTGTGTGTGTGTGTGTGTGTGTGTGTGTGTGTGTGTGTGTGTGTGTGAATATATGTGTATGTATATACTATTATATATATTTTTATGTTCATCAATATCATATAAAATATCAATAATCATCTGCTCTCGATTATTTGGTTTGGTTCATTGTGGAAACTTCACTGATTTATGTTATGGTTGTGTATACTATTTTATATGTCTTAGGTATTGTATGTTTCCGTTTCAAAGTAAAATAAAAAAACAAAATAAAACATAAAAAATAGTAACTTAGGATCCAACACGCAAATTCTGACCTAAATAGCAAACCACCACTTAAAACGTTAAAATACATCAAAGCAACGACTATTGAAAGTGTAACCTTTTAAGAATTGTATTCCAATAGCAATCCAACATAATGCAGATCATCAAACCAAGACATTATTCAAAGAAACTATATTAAGCGACTTCACAATATCACATAACATACCAAGTGGATTACCAGAGGGATATATTAGTTATATTACTTTATAGATATATTACTTTGTATAAAAGTCGTTTGCTTGGGCTCCTCTGTCCCATTTGCGTTTCTACCGTGAAGCAGTTGTGTTTGCATGGCTGTGTTTCGGTTTGAAGAGTGAGATATGTCAGTGAATGTACAGGGTATAGTGGAATAACACCTAAGTCCTCAGGAATGGCAACGTAAGGGGGTATCATGGGTGAAACAGTATACTCTGTTATGTCCATGGTACTGCTCATGTCTATAGGCGACAGTTTCCCGTTTTCCATAAGGTAGGCCGTCAGCTTGTTTGTCATTTTAAGTTGCATAAAAAAGTCTTCTAAAGAAGGTCCAGGAGTTCTTAAAGTTTTTAGATTGTGACTGTCATATTCTTGGATTTATTTTTGAAATATGCTACATCAAACAGTGGTTACAGCTTAGTTGGGCAATGCTTGACTGCGATTCGGAGGATCTAAGAACAAGTTTCGGCCTAAAAATTTTAATCTTTTAAATTTCTGTTTGGTTTTAAAAATAATTATATCACTTCCTTTATGCTTTGAAGAGCACATAGAGACGTGGTCAAGTAAGGCACGTCAAAGAGCTTGTAACAAAGACTTTCTAGAAAATCTTGACAACAGGGGCTTTGACACATTTGGATATTTGCCACCAGCAGGCTATTCAAATTTTACCACCGCTAGATCTCTATAATTCGACACCCCAGTTTACTATTCCGTTAATTACAATTTTATGTCATTTAAATTGTAATTTTATGATTATAAAAAAAATGGTCTCAAATATGTTACCCCTAAAGTCTGCGGGCGTAGGCTCCAGCCTACACAGACTACTAATAAATCCGCCACTGAGCAGGTGTTACCATCGTGCTACCTTCACACAAGTCGTGGTATTATCAAATATTGTTAAGCCGTATGTTACACTCATCACAATCCTTGAATTAACAGTTGTGAGTATATTAATTATAGTCCTAGCTAGCATATAAATTAATGTAAAACTACAGGTTTTTTTAAATGCTATGATGTTCGCTTGTAAGTATATTAGCATATGTATAAGTCACCTTGACTGCTAGTAATTAAGTAAATATTTACCACTCTAGTAAAACACATAATACCACAATGATATTTACAAAGAAATCCATCTGTTTTGTTATCTATAACGATATTTTTGAAGGAGATGGTGGCTGTTATACTACTGAGAACGGGAAAAGAGTTAACGGAGTTTCTAGTAAAAAGTGGTTAATAGTCGTCTAGAGACTTGAATATATTTGAGGAACACGAATTCGGTCAATGAGCTCTGACTTTCGCTACATGAATCTTGAAAGGATCCGAAAAAAGGAAATCTCAAAAATGATAAAGATGTAGCCCAAAAGTCTCGCAACTCAAAGAAACCATAATAGATGGAGGAAAAAGGTTTTAAAATTACGACTTTACAAACAAAAGTTTTCAATCCTTAATTATGCACTGTCGAACAAAGATTTTCATGCCATAAAGAACTGTCCTGAACACCAATCAATCTAATCATTACATCCAATACAACACATTTGAAGTCATACCCTGGCCATAGATTTAATTGGCGCTGGGGACTTTATTTTAGGTTTTCCTGTAGTTGCCAAGCACGGTAGACGGATGTGCAATCCCAGTTCTTATTCCGCCATCAGTTATAACAGGGAGTATATGTCACAAATCAGCACATGTCACGTCTCTATTCCCAGCAAATAGCAAATGGCTGAACAAGCGTGAATCCCCAATCATCCAATAAAAGGTCGTTGCACTGCATTTGCAGTATTATCAATTTAGGCTTGGCCACAGTGTCGCCGGTTGCGGATCGTCAAGCGCATTGTGTCAGTTCTGGCGCCTGCGCACACTGAGTCATCAGTACGGATAGTGATGGATTAGGCTGGCCCAAAGAACCGAAACATATACCATACTCTATTTCGTGAAATATTTTTAAAAAGGTCTTAGTAACATTGGCATACTTGAGGAAAAGAGGTAACTGCCAACTGCTTCCTTGTAGTGAAGCAGGTATAACACCGTGGACATTTTATGAACCAATTACTATTCAGTACCAAAATTCTGCATTATTTGGCTATTCTCAATTAAAGTTAAAAGTTACAATGTTTTATTATTACGATTGAAATAATACAAAATACCTTACGCTCTCTATATATAGTAGTGTTAATTGTTTTCCCAGAAAGTGTTCGAACAGAACTAAGTAAGAGAGTAAGGCCCCGATCGTTAATTGCGATTTACGGCGACGATACAGCAATTAAGATTTTGCGGTTCGAACTCGGCTCTAAATTGAGACGTGTCGACACAATCATTTGCTTCGTTGCATATCTATATAAACTTAGTTACGTTATATACTAAATTAATATTTCTCCGAGGTGTATGGAATATATTATGTCGGAACTCTATTTCATACACAGAATGCCGTATGTTATCGTATAAGTGATTAGCGTTGTTTACCATAATAAGACATACCATTCATTTAGGGCATTAGCCATTAGATTCTCTTAAGGTCGGTTTCGAAACTGTATGGTTAAAAAATAAAAAAACATAATTAAATGCTCCCGAGTAATTTTTCCAATTTATCATAAGAAATATCTTCAAACTTCAATAAATATTGGATTTTTTTTTAATTGGTCCAGCTGTTTTCGAGTCTTGCCATTAGGCTATACATTTAATTAATTATTTTTTGTTTTTAGGTTTCCATTTATTTGATCATCACTTTACGCTGTCAAGTATATTTTTTAATATTTCTGTTTATGCTATATATACGTCTACGCTAATAAGCTAATCCGTCGGGCAACCAAAAACTGGTAGAACTAACAACAAGTAGCAAACCATCGTAGTACAGAAACGTTTATCCAATCCTCATCATCATGCAAAGGAACAATAAGATAAAAAGTCAAGGCTTAAATTACAATGGGTTTTATTTTTATTATCGCTTATTTATTCGTTAATTAACTCCGCCACCATTCTCTTTCTAATGATTCGTCATCGTGTTCTTTGTTCTCGATATGTTCTCCAGAATACATCATCAGTTTTGTTCCTTATAAGTATAGAGGCAACTTTTTTAACCCTGGCTGCGTTATCGGTATACCTTGGCGAGGCACCAGTGAGAGATGGGCGTGGATGATGTCGACGCCCTAATAGAGTATATTACTATCAATGGGGCTGTTAAACCCCATTAACAATCTTAGCGTGGTATAAATGTTAATTCATAAGACTAGGAGTTTATTAATTTATTTTTTACTATTAATAGGATTCCGCGATTGATCACGATCTCACCTAATAGAAATGATGATGTGGTCTAAGATGAGGCTCGCGGGCCCACGAACGATCTTATTATACACTTATATACACAAATATTATATACAGAGGAATAACACCTGAGTCCTCAGGAATCGCAACGCATGAGGGGTATCATGGGCGAAACAGTATACTCTGTTATGTTCATGGTACTGCTCATGTCTACAGGTGACGGTTACCACTTTCCATCAGGTGGGCCGTTAGCTTGTTTGCCATTCTAAGTAGTATAAAAAATAAAAAAGAAAAAACAATTTTAAAGTGTGTTCTTGTCTGGCTGTGAACAAATATAGATGGAGACACATTGCGGGGATCTCAATCGCGATGGTAAGCCTCATCGTCAATTCACCTTAGTAGTCGTCAAAATCATAGTCACTCTATTAACAGTGTACAGCTGAAAGGAGATATTTTTTTTATGCAACTTAGAATGGCAAACAAGCTGACGGTCCACTTGATGGAAAGTGGTAACCGTCGCCTATAGACATGAACAGTACCATGGACATAACAGAGTATACTGTTTCGCCCATGATACCCCCCATGCATTGCCATTCCTGAGGACCCAGATGTTATTCTTCTGTACCCAGTAAATTCACGCCATATCCCACCCTTCAAACCGAAACACAGCCATGCAAACACAACTGCTTCACGGTTGAAACACGAATAGGACAGAGGTACCCAAGCAATCGACTTTTGTACGAAGTCTCCCTCTGGTACAATAATACACTAGAGATAGAAGAAAGCTTAAAATAAAAACATATACCAACCCGTTTGGCCAGCGCGTAGTAATATACTAACATCATCCTCCTTATAGAGAAAGCATATTAATAAGTTAATAA